TTGCAAATGTTCGAAGTGTTTAGAGAGAAAGGCACTTACAGCAGAATACAGTATGTTTTCTGTGGACCCACAAAAGTAAACATACAGTAGAGAGATACTTCATTTCCAATGGAATAAACTTTGCTTAGTGCAACTGTTTGATATCTGACTGATACTGTGAAGGAATTAAATAATGTTATCATTTGTCACTGCTGTAACTTTAAAGTGTTTTAAAAAATGTCTTGCAAGCATGCTTAGATTTGTGTTCCAAATTGACAGTGAAATTCAAGTGCTTTTTAAGACGATTTTCCAATTGCCTTTGGCTATTTCGACAGTGCCACATAAAACTGACATCACAATTCATCCTAGAAGCATGACTCATTAAATAAGCTTCTAATGTATTGCCAGTAGTGTACACCTGCCAAGATTTATAAATTGCTCAAGGAATATTACAATTCTGTTCACAGAGATGCTCTCGACTCCCTAAGACAGACGTTTTATGCTCAGAAGTACTTTGCCTGAGAATGTAATACCTAATAGAAATCATTATGTACCATCGACAGCCAAGGGTGAAGTGCCCAAAGATTGGAGGGTGGCTAATGTTGTGCCATTATTTAAGAAAGGCTGCAGGGAAATGCCTGGGAACTACAGACCTGTGTGCCTAATGTCTGTGCTGGGTAAGTTGTTAGAGTGGATTCTGACAGACAGGATCTACAGGCGTTTGGAGAGGCAAGGAATCATTTGGGATGGTCAACACGGCTTCGTGCATGGGAAATGGTGTCTCATGAATTTAATTTGAGTTTTTTTGAAGAGGTGATCAAGAAATGTAGATAAGGGCAATGCGGTAGATGTTGTCTACATGGACTTTAGCAAGGCCTTTGACAAGGTACTGCATGGTGGATTGTTGAATAAGGTTAAATCTCATGGAATCTAGGGAGACCTGGCCAATTGAACACAAAATTGGCTTCATTAATTGTGAAAATTGGTTGGCATGGACAAGTTGGGCCAAAGAACCTGATTCCATGCTGTAAACCTCTATGACTCTATGACCTAACTAGTCACAAAGGTGCATAAGGCAGGGCTATTTAACCACATGCACCAATTTTTGTAGAACATTTCTTACAGACACAATACAGGCAGAGATGTTTCACTAATGTTCTCTCTAAGGTTAGTTGTTCATGCACAGATCTGAGTTCTGTGCGCGGTATATATAAACCAGAGCAGAAGTCGTACAGTTGAGGGTGGTACAGAGTGTGTGGGGTTGCTTGACAAAGATCTTCCATCAGTTATCAAGGAAGTAAAGTTCTCACAATGAACAAAAAGGTCTTTCACACTTTTTTTTGTCCATTTTAACTGATGCCCAGTTTAAAGTTCACATGCCTGCACTTTAAAGTTATGAATTTTAAGACTGTAGGCTCATGGATTATGTCTATTATTCATTTAACATTAAATAAAGGAATACAATGAACCATACCTAGATTCCAAATGTATTGAGCACTGCCTCAGAATCGGTTATGTGTTACGCAGTTAATTTTGCACATGCACGGTGAGATATTATTCAGACGACTCCAGTTAGCCTCACTGATCGATGCAAGCTCCAGTTATTGATCAATGCCTCTATATCCCATCAATAACGACGTAAAATGTGTTTAATGTTGCAAACAACACCAGGAATTGCTGCAGAAGCTCTGTAGGTCTGAAGCGAAAAAACTGTTAACATTTCAAATCCAGTGACCCTTCCTCAGAGCACTCAATTTCAGTCACTGGACTCGAAATGTTAACACTGTTTCTCTGCAGACCTGCTGAGTTTCTCCAGCATTTTCCGTGTTTGTTTGTTTCAGATCTCCAGCATCCGCAGTTATTTATTTTGTTTTAGTGTTCAATGTTGCAATTGCCTTTTTAGGTTTTGATCAACCATTTTTTTTTCCACCACTGATTATTTCTGTTTAGACATGACTGTCACAAAATGTAGGAAAGCCATTGGATATCCAAGTTAATATATCAATTCTGACTATAATAAGATTCTCAAAAAAGAACAAAAACCTCCATTCATGAACTCTGGACATGTACAATAATTAGGTCATGAACCATAAGTGACAGATGTAATGAGAAGTGTAAATAATAGACTTTACGATCATTAAACAACAAAATAAAGTCTGACTTCCATTTGTTATGGCAAATGGAGAATGTTAGTTCCCTAAAAGCCAAGCCAAATGGCTGATGATCCCCTTTGGGAGTCTAAAAGTTGCTGGCATTAAAGTTGAGAGAAACCGTGCCCAGTATAACTGGTAATACAAGATAAGATTTTAACTCACTTCAAAGTCACCCATTTCCACTGACTTAAAATCAAATCCTATGTCCAGAATGCTTATTATAGATGGACAGTTTAGAGTTTTGGGTGCCGTTCAAAAAATTAATGCATGTGTGCTAGGAGGTAATATAGGCATGGATTACTGATTGACTGAGACAGAAAACAGACAGTAAGAACGAATGTGCCATTCTCACATTGGCAGGCTATGATGAGTAGGGTACTGCAAGGTTCAGTACTTGGGCCTTCACTGTTCACAATATATGTCAATAAATTGCAATTGGGGACCAAACGTAATATTTCCAAATTTGCAGGTGATACAAAAGTGGGAATGTGTGTTGTGAAGAAGATGTAGAGTGCCTTCAGGAGAATGGGCAAAAACATGGCAGATAGAATACAATGTGGAAAAATGTGATGTTATCCACTTCATTAAGAGAATCAGATATGCAGGGCATTTCTGAAACACTAAGAGGTTGTAAAGCAAAGATATACTAACGAATCTAGATGTCCTTGTCCAAAAGTCACCGACGGTTAACATGCAGGTGCAGCAAGTTATTCGGAAGGCTAATAGAATGTTTGCCTTTATTGCAAGGGGGTTTGAGTACAGGGGTAGTGAAGTCTTGCTTTGATTGTTATGCCCCATCTGGAGTAGTGTGTGCAGATTTTGTTTCCTCATCTCAGGAAAGTTATTATTGCCATAGAGGGAGTGCAACACAGACTCACCAGATTTGTTCCCAGGATGCTGGGACTGCCCTTTGAAAAGAAAGTTCTAAAGAACGAGAGGTGTTCTCATTGGAAGTCGCAAAATATTTAAAGGGATAGACAGGGATAAACAAGATGTTTCCCTTTTTGAGGAGTCTCAACCCAGGAGACATAATTTAAAAATAAGGGAGATGCCACTTCAGTCCAGGATGAGAAGAATTCCTTTTACAATGAGTATTGTAATCTTTGGAATTCTCTACCAGAGGGCTGTGGAAGCTCAGTCTTTGAGTAAGTTTAAGGTAAAGATTGACAGATGTCTGATCACCAATGATGTACAGGGTCATTGGGACAGTGTGGGTAAAAGGTATTGATGTGTTCAATCAACCATGAACATACTGAATGGCAAAGGAGGTTCAAGGGCCTCTGGCTGTTCTTAAGTTTACACACTAAATGTGTGATGGTGTAGTGTTACATCTAATTTGGGGAGTCTGAGTTAATGTGGCGACATGCAGATTATAGCCTACAGCTCCAATTTTCTTACAGAATCCCTACAATGTGGGGAACAGGCCATTGGGCCCATCAAATCCACATCACCCTTAAAAGAGCATCCCACCCAGACCTAACTTCCTACCCTATCCCTGTAATGCTGCATTTCCCATGGCTAATCCACCTAACCTGCAAACTTTTGGACTGTGGGAGGAAACCAGAGCATCCAGAAGAAACCCACACAGACAGTCACCTGAGGGTGGAATTGAACCTGAGTCCCTGGTGCTGTGAGGTGGCAGTGCTAACCACTGAGCCATCATGCCGCCCTATTATTTCTTCCCATCACATAGTTAACCAGGAATCTCTCCCACACTACTGCCTGCCACTCCCGGAATGATTTTCAAGTTTATAATCACCCTGTTTCATCACATTATGAACGCACCTTTCTCAGCCATCAAGTCCTGGGTTAGTCTTCAACTCAGACCTTCTGGGTCAGAGGCAGGGGCATTACCCACTGTGCCACAAGTCCACTTTACTATTAGTGTAGGGATACTTGGAAAACTAGTATCACTTCATAAAATTGCTACAGTTACAATGAAAATGCAGCTTTAGATTTAGAATTTGGACTCAACCTACGGCAACATTAATGCTTAACCCGAGACATGTGAATGTGCCATTATAGGCAGTGGTTATTAACAGGAAGGAGAGAGAAAGAAGATGGTTTGAGATTGTGCACATGTCCCTTCTCCCAATCTGTGAGAAGAGTTTTCAGGATACTATGAAAAAGAGAGGGCAGTAATTGGAGATGGAACATGTGGGAGATGAGTAAATGAGTGGCTCTCCATCATAAAATAAGAATGAGAAGTTGCTAAAAAGATGAGAGGTTACTTGCAATGACACATAGCTGCAGAAATCACACATAGGAGGTAGGGCAAGACAAAGTCATTGAAAGATTTAAAGACGAGGATAAAAGTTTTATTGCCGTTTCTGAATTGCAGATGGATGACTGTCTCTGTAGGTTGGCATAGACACAATGTTATGGTCCACAGTTTCCATGATGAACCTATGCCTGGTCATACACAGGGAAATGACCCTTATGGAGGATCAAAGTCAAACTAGCTGTACTCATGTCCTCTGAATTCTACCTTCCTTTCACTTCCTATTCCACCATGACATACCTTCTATTAGTACATCAGTCATGCTCACTGACAATTTAAATTTGCCAGATTCTATTCACCTCTGGTGACCTGAATAAGTTTTTCTAGTTCATTAACTTTTCTGAAGACAGATTCAATCCATACAGGTGAATCTATATAGACACTTTCAAACAACACTATCATTTTTCCTCCCGTGTCAACTCTTTCTCTCAAATGAGCAAAGATATGAATTTTAGCTTTTAACATTTCCTTTCACCAATCCTAAAACATCAATGCAGTCAAAACAGTTGATCCATATATTTTAATCTTACTGTCACACTTACAATATTCCAGCGAGATGTTAAATATGTAATAAATTCAAACCATACCGATCTGAAACCATTCCCTCTGCAATTTCACAGACGAGAACAAAGAGGAGTATAAATGTAAGAATCCATCGTAAACTGTGTCCAGGGAAGTGCAACCATGTGTTATGGTGGATCTGAACCTTTGAACTTTGGCTTCCCCAACCTGAAATTGAAAATTCAATTTATTCTTAGAAAATAGATGAAAACAGAACACAAAATTTGAAGAAAACATTGAAATATGCTTTAAAAAGCAAATTTGATTTTGGTGGATTGTGTAAAGCAAACAATATCAGAACAGCCTCTCATTATACATCTCTCATTTTCATTCAAATTGATTTCAACAAAATAATTGAGAGAAATTAACAATGGGTGGTATCCAATATACTCTGGTCCACTTTACTCTGGTGCTCAAAATCAAAATTATCACCATTAATTCTAAACTGTATATTACATATATTGGCTTAAATATGCTTTTATTTTGATCCATGATTATTTTAAGAATGGAGTATTATGACCTACTGGCCCCAAGTGTTCAGGAAATGTCCAGTTGATGTTAGTACTGGACAAATCAGATTCCCAATAGAAGTGTGGCTGAATCTACTGAAACATAAGTACACAATGTTGCAGTCTTGTTTTAGCAATAAGACAAAACAAAAATTTATTAACAACAGAAAAAAAAATGGAAGTGAGAGGATAGAATTGAAAGAGATTGGTAAGAAAATGGTGCTGAGGAAATTAATAGGGTTTAAGACTGACAAATCACCAGGGCCGGATAGTCTAAATTCCACATGACTAAAGAATGTGGCTCTGGAAATACTGGATGTTTTGGTGGTTACCTTCCGCAATTTCATATAGCAGGTCCTACAGATTGCATGGGGCAAATGTAACCCCACAATTTAAAAAGGAAGGTAGGGAAAACACAGAATTTCAGGCCAGTCAGCCCAACATCAGTAGTGGGGCAAATGCTAGAGTCCATTGTAAATGATGTGATTAAAGACCATTTGGAAAGAATTCTTCGGATTTGAAAAAGCTCCCAGCATGGGTTTATGAAAGGCAAACTGTACCTAACAAATCTCCTGTAGTTTCTTTTTAGGATGCAACTCATCGATGAATTGACAAAGGGAGAACCCGTGGATGTGGTGCATTTGGATTTTCAGAAGTGTTTTCCTTTTTAAAATGGTTGTGGGCAAAGTGAAAACACATGGAATATGTGTAATATATTTTTGGTACAGTTTGAGAAACAGAAACATAGAAAATAGGAACAGGAATAGGACATTGGATGGCAGACAGAAAACATAGAATGGAATAAATTGATTTTTTTTCTGAGTGGCATTTGGTTGGGCACTAGCTATTCATAATATATGCAAATGACCTGGATGGAGGAACCAAATGCAACACAAAACTGGGTGGGATTGTAGTTATGAGGAAAATGCTAAGAAGCTCCAAGTTAGACAAGTTGAGTGGGTGGGCAAACACATGGCAGATGCATTTAAATGTGGGCTAAATGTAAATTTGTACATTTTAATGTTAAAACAGAAAGGTGTGGTATTATTTAAGTGGTAACATATTGGGAAATGTATATGTACTGAGAGATCTGGGTTTCCTATACACCAGTCAGTGAAAATACATAGGCAGGTGCAGCAAGCAATTAGAAAGGAAAATGGATATTGGTCTTCATTGTAAGAGGATTTGTGTTCAGAAGTCAGGATGTCTTTCTGCAGTTATAGAGCCTTTGGGGAATCGACACCTTGAGTATTGCATGTTTTGGTCTCTATACCTAAGAAAGGATATATTTACCATAGAGGGAGTACAGTGGAGGTTCACTAGGCTGATACCAGGGATGGCAGGACTGTCCTAGGAGGGGAGATTAGTTCAACTAGGCTTCTCTTCACTTGAGTTTTGGGATGAGTGGGGAACTGACTGAAACATAACATTCCAACAGGGCTGAACAGACACACTGCAGGGAAGATGCTTCCCCCAGCTGCAGAGTCTAGAACCAAGAGAAACAGTCTCAGGATTTGTGGTAGATCATTTAGAACAGAGATAAGGAAACAGTTTTTCATTCAAAGGATAATGCAACTGTGGAATTCTCCACCACATCAGGCAGTGGAAGCCAGGTGTTTTTTTTTTAGATTTTAAAGGCTTCAAGGGGTATGGGAAGAAAGCAGGAATATGGCATTGAGATACAGGATCAGCGATGATCATATTGAATGGCGAAGCAGGCTCAAAGGGCAGAATGGCCTACTCCTGCTCCTAATTTCTACGTTTCAAATGAAGATAAATATGAGAGGAAATCACTCTATTTCATTAGCACACAGATTCAATGATTTTAAACAGACAACAGAAATAACCAAAGCGTGGTACTACTTACAACACCGCTGCAATTCTAAGAACATCCAGTACTGCACCAGTTCATTTCTGAGACAGATGTGTCTGCTTGTTTCAAAACTTTGATGGCTGGATGTGATTAAAATTTTACCTCATCTGATAGAACTGTAGATAAGTCTATCTTAATTATTAATACATTTATGAATTAGTTTCCTTACAGTGCAATACTATGCCTGCAGCTCCTCTTTTCTTAAACTTCAAAATCTTAACTTTAATTCTTTTCCACCAACTGAGCCCCCACACTTTGGTCTGAGACTAATAATAACTTCTTGCTCGGAGATCATTTTATTACTTTAAAATATTTTTTTTTCTTAGAAATGCCACTTAGCACATGTTACTCAAGTAAAAGACTTCTCATCACTTTGGAACTTATTATATGCTTTCCTCTTGAATGACTTTCCCGCATCACTCTGGAAAGTTCTCTCCCTAGGAACTCCAGGCAACTCCTCTTCCTTGGAATGATGGGTATTGTAGTTTTGTTTGTTTTACACAAAAGCCAATTGTCAACTCCAAACACACCCCACCTCCAATTCAGATCTCCAAGAACGCAAACTCACAGCAAGTGATATCAAAACACACACATGCACACACATTTTATATATACCTTGGTGTCATCACAATAGAAAATTGAGGATAAATAAAATGGGTGGTATAGTGGATCAATGGTTAGCACTGGACCTCACAATGCTAGGGAACCAGGTTCGATTCCAGCCTTTGGTGACTGCGTGGAGTTTGCACATTCTCCCCGTGTCTATGTGAGTACTCCATTTCCTCCCACAATCCAAAGATATATACATTCGTTGGATTGACCATGTTAAATTGCCGATAATATCCAGGGATGTGCAGACTAGGTGGATTAGCCATGGCAAGTGTTGGGTTACATGGGTAGGGGGCTGGGTTTGGGTGATGGTCTTTGGAGGGTCGGTGCAGACCCGATGGGCCAAATGGCCTCTTTTCACACTGTAGGGATTCTAGATTCTATGTAGCCCATCTTGGATTGTCCATTTGATGCAAGTTGACTGCATCATGGAAGTCTCACACTCCATTCACATGGAGCCATGCTAGCTTAGGATATGTGACTACCATTACTTTATTTCACACCAGAAAGGATTAATATCTATTAGCTTACTGAGTTACTTTGCCATAACATGTAGACAAAAAATGGTCATTTAAATAAACCTTTAGTTTCCTTCTGACAGATCAGTTTCATTTATTAATTTACAGATACGATGTGCATTTTATTGACCAGTTAGTATTAATACTGCTTTAATTAATTAGTAAAATTAACCAAATAATAATTAATTATTGTTATATTTAGTTTGTCATTTGTCTACCAATTGGAAAAGTAACTTCATTCCTCCTGCCAGTCCTTTATTACACCCTGTGGGATACAATGTCTCAGAAAACTCTCCTCTTGATCAATGGAGATTGTCAAAACCTGCACAAACAATGTAAAGGAGCCCTTAACTATTGACCCTAAAGAATTTTGCTCAACATTCTCACCAGACGGCAGCATTAAGAGTGCTTCATTACCGAATTTTAAATTGATTCTTATCCACCGAAGCAAAACTCCTCAGGAAGGCTAAGTGAGTTCAATTGCAATGTGGTCCACAATCTAATTTGTCTACTTAATAAGACCATAAAGCCATGAGACACAGAAGCAGAAACGGGCTTTTGAGCTCATCAAATCTGCTGTGCCATTCAATGAGATCTTGGCTGATAATCCACAACTCTGCTTTCCTGCAAAGAGGGCAGACATTGTCTGTTACACCACTCCGATAGAGGCATCAGGCTGCAGCTACCCTGCCCCCAACACCTCCACCCCCCCAACAACCAGTTACCCCGCTGGCTATTTCTGCCCCCTCCCCCACTTCTAGATGAGACCCACATTGCTACTGGGTGTACCCCGCTGCTTGGCAGGCTTTCATCCCCCTCCCGACAGCTGGCAGCATCCCATCAGGCTCCTGTGTACAAATCAGTTACTGCTCAACCTAGTGGTGGCATTGTCGATAAAGGCAGCCCTTCCACCAGTGGTTCAATGAGAGCAGGCCTCTAATCTGTAGCCAGATGGTATTGTAAAGTGATGGTTAGGGCTCCCACTATTTCTCCTTTTCCTCATCAATCCAAGATATGAGTCGTCCAAACTCGCCATTTCAAAGATGCTAATTCATTTCAGACTTCTCTATATTTATCCCATCCTGTGTGACTTGGGCTGGTGATAAACCAATGCACCTGTGGCCCATGGTCTAAGCAGTAGAGGTCCCAGAGTTGGGAGAATCTGTTGGAGAAGCCCTGGTGAGTTGATATAAAGATCCTGCAGATGGTACACACTGCTGACACTGAGCCAGTGGTAAATGTCAAGAAGGTGAAGGAGGTGTAGGTTTAATCAAGTAGGCTCTCTTATTTTGGAGGGTGCTGAGCTTCTAAGTGTTGTTGGCATAGTACCCATCCAGAAAAATGGAGAAAATTCCATCACACTCCTGACTTGTGTCTTGTAAGTGCTGAAAAGGTTTGAGCATGCCATAGAATTCCAGTATCCAACTCGCTCTTGTAGATCCAATATTCATATGGCTGGGAGATAGCAAGAACTGCAGATGCTGGAGTCAGAGATAACACAGTGTGGAGCTGGAGGAGCGCAGCAGGCCAGGCAGCATCAGAGGAGCAGGAAAGTTGAAGTTTCGGGTCAGGGCCCTTCTTCATAAAATATTCATATGTTAAGTTTCTGGTCAGTTGTAACCACCAGGATGGTGATGGTAGAGGATTTGCCAATGATGC